AAACATATAAATAATTGAGTTATGACACAATTATTTTTGAGAATTTTGGAAATTGAGTCAACAGCAAAATAATTTATGCCACATATATAAGCTGATCAGATCATGGGCTTGAATCTAAAAATCAAGAAAGGTCTAATACCTTTGTCACCAATGGAACCTAGTTCAAATATGAACTTTAATTCTGAAGACCATATCTTCAGGCTCATAGAAATCAACAGTGCTATAATATCCAGTCTTTAAATAATCAAAACAACAAAAGGAAGAGAAGAGAAGACAAGACAAGGTACAAAATAGAAGGTTATATAAACAAATTAGACAAGATTAGGAAACTAATACAGAAGTTTATAGAAAGTAAAAAAAATAATTAGCACTTAAATAAAAACTCAATCTAAGTTTATAGCACATGATCTGTAGAGATGATCTGTGGGCTTTAATTTTATTAAACAAATAAAATCTTAATTCTAATTAATGGACAAGTAACATATTATCCCTATAAATTACATCTAGAAACTTTTTGTTACAGACAGGTGAGCTGGGTTGAGAAAATTTATACATGTAATTTATATTTGTAATAGTTCACTTTGATTTAATAAATAAATAACACCAACCTAATTGAAGGAAAAAAAAAATTATATAAGTAAAAATACTATAATAATGAATTGCAAACAATGATTTTTATAATTGAACTCTATAAGTAAGTAAATAATAAAAAAAGTAAATTTCTTTATTTTCAAAGTCATATCTAGAGACATTAGTCAAAGATGAATATTCAAGATAGTAGAATAGTTTATACAATATGATATATCATATATTATTTGTTTTCTGTAAAAATTTAATAAACAATATATATTTGTTTGACTATGAGAAAAAATATATATATAATTATATAAGTAAAAATATAAGATATAATAAATAACTAAAAAAAAAACTCTTTCCCACAACTCTCCAATTTGTAAAAAATTTCCTTTTTTGGTAATGACATAAATGGTAGACAGTAAATAGCGAGCAAAAACCTCTTCCAGGGAGAGGAGTTCATCTTAGCTTTCTGCAGGGTACAAGAGGTCAATTAACTCTCCATAGAGGGGTGGATGCTTTGAGGCTAGCAAAAATCTTTTTGATTAAACCCTTTGCTTTACTGAGTGAAACCTATGTAAGCAACCTTCAACAAAGGAAAACCTTTTTACCGTATTTACACACATTACTACCTATATCACAAAAAACACATACAAAATCAAATATAATCTTCTTCTCAAGATGCAGTATTTTATTTTTTCAGAGTTTTTGTTTTCTGCTGATGACAACTAGTGCTAAATTTATCACAATCTTCTGGCTAGTTTTCAGTTCTCGCCAAATTTTTTCACACAAAAACCGAATCCAGCTTACCTCCATCAAAAAATCGACATCTACAATACATCAATAATATTTCATATTACAATATCATTAACAAAAACACCAAAACAACTATATGTATCACCAAATTCATCACAAATTACAAACATAGCCGGATTGGAAGAGTGCGTGATCAGTGCCCTGCACGGGTTCCAGCTATATAGCCTATCAACTTTTTACACCAATATTTCAATCTATCCAATCATATCCACTATCACTACCATATTTATGCCACTGTCAACAATGGAGTAGTGTACTGGAAGAAATAGCCAGACTGGTTGTTGAAACAAACTTTATATTTTTCCATATTTACTTTTTTCTATAATTTTTTTTTTCTTTACTTCTTTTACAAATCTGAAGCTCTTAGTTTTTTTTCGTTTCTTTAAGTAGATAGTTCCTTCCTTTTTTTTTCTTGTAATAAGTTTTTTTTAGAAATATATCTACTTTATAGATGGTAGGCTAGTATGCATGGTAATACATCTCTAGATTTAGAAATTAATTATATATCGATAAAACTCATACTCAATTAATAAAATCGTGAGAAAAGCCTCACCTTAACACTTTAAAAAAAAAGATATAATAAATAACTGATTGACCGGTTTCCAATTTATGTCATATCCAATCAGCTGACAATCTATTTCCAAATCTAGTTAGGCTGCATGAAGATGTGACCTCTGGTCTTCTTGATGATCGTGGGCTGAAAACAGGTTGAAGCAAGAAAGGTTATACGAGAAAAGGCTTCTGGTCTAACTCTGGTATAAGCCCATAACCCCAACTAGCATAACAGACTTCGTAGCACCACTTTCTATTCAAATTGAATGGTTTCCTGAATAAGTTGTATCCAATTAGCCAACTTCTCCAAACTGGCATAGCAGATTCCGTATAATACAGATCAGGCCTCACTACCCTATTTGATGTTAGCACAATTCCGATTGGTAACCCAATTGAAAAAGAGTAGGATTACAAGTTAAAAAAGTGATTACTAGAAAGGTTTTTCAACTGTTGGACAGGATTTTCCTTACCTTATATTTACAAATAGGGAGTTATAGTATAAAACCAGGGTATGGACTCACCTACTTGATGTAAAAAGTTGATATTCTGGTAAAAAGGAGCAGGTAGCTTGAGTTAATATTAGCAATATGTTAATAGACTATTCACATGTAGACAATTGTAATCTTAAGTGATCTCACAATAAAATATATGCATGTATCGCAACTTGGTCCCTTAAAAAAAAAAAAGATATAATAAATAACTCCACATATAGGACACTTTTGTTACACTTGAAGTATGGATGTGCCAAATTTTTTTTGTGACTTAAAAGCAAACCTGTATAAAATAATTGCAATGCTTTCATGCAAAAAGGTACTTATTTTCTATTACCTCCAACACTACTTTGCTTGCCATACATTAAGCCATATTTGAAAAGTAGGCATGTCAATCCTAATTATGACTTGAAGGCCAACCTATATAGATTGACTACAGCGCCTTCATATGATTAGGTATTCATTTACTTCTAGGTAGCTAGATGCCATTCATAAATATAATATAGATTTTTGAATTTCTTTTTGTTTATATTTCTTGAATGGTACTAAAAGAGTATAGGGGTCTGACCCTATACGGAAGCCTTACATTAAACTTTTTTTAGCAAAGAAAAATGTATGTTGTGCTATTGAGTATTGTATCTTGCTTTGCAAATGAAAGTATAATAAATATAATAAAATGTGATAGCCATTTGTTTTTTTCAAAAAAAAAAAAAAAGATATAATAAATAATTTATATAAATAATTAATATAAATTAATCATATTGATATACAAAAATTTAATTGATAGATTAAATAGTTTAAACTAATAATAGGACTTCTATTCCCTACATAAGTCTTCTAAAAATATATAATATACTTATAAAGTAAGTAGCATATTGCTAAACATAACAGTAAATAAATTAGTATTTAGCTATAGTTATAATATTACAAAGAATATCTAATAATGAAAGTTATAATATTTCTACTATTCAATAAAAACTTGTATTTAATACTATTCTATTAGAGCTTCAAAAAGTATTGAACTGATATTGAACTAGTTTCAAAATAGTATTAATTTATAGTAAATTTAAATATCAAACTGATATTAAAATAATATTAAAGTAATATTGTTAGGAGCCCTATATTTTATTATAAAATAAAATAAAATAAAATAAAAAAGATTACATATTGAAATTAGTTTTTTTAAATTCAATATTGAATTTTTTATTCTTTAAAATCCAATACAATTAATATATTATACATTGAAACTTTCTATAAATACTTTTTTTTTATATATAAAATTTTTCTAAAAAAAGACATTACTTATTTAATCTTATAACAAGATAATATTAAATTTTATTTTGTTAAACTGACAAAAGAATTTATTATTAAAAATCATATTTGTATAATGAATTGATTTTATAAAGTTTCAATTTAAATCTGATAGAAAATATAAAAATAAAAGTAAAAAAGTCAATATTAAGCCAATATAAAATGTTATCAATATATTCTTTTAATATTTTAGCTAATAAATTGAATTCTCAATGTATTGAAGTTTTATTGAAATAAAACATTAAAAGGTAATGCCCTATAAGTTAAATAAATAACCAATATATATATAGTCGTATCTGTCTATAATCCTATTTGTTCTATATTAATTTTTTAAAAAAATGTTCTTATAAGTAGAAGTTTTATAATAAAATTAAAAAATTGGCAAGGTGATTATAAACTGAGATTAATTATAGGTGAATATATTATACAAACTATATAAACTAAATTTGCATCAATATATGAATAATTAGACATAATAGTTTGCCGTATATTAAAAAATGTTACTTGTGGCCTATTAATTAACACTATGTATGGACTTATACACAATTATGACCTGATGATTATGATTTCTTTATTCAAGTTCGAAATGAATATGAATCTAATGCAAATTTAAAGAAAATTTAATATTTGTTTTTCTTTGTTACAGTATTATTGAAGGTAAACAGTAAACCATTTCCATGATATACACTCATTTTACTAAGTAAAGAATCCTTTGTAACATCATAGTTCGCAGAAAAAGGGTTTTCTTTGATATAAAATTTCAAGATAAAAAAAAAGAGTTTAAAAAAGAAATTAAAATAAATTGTCACCGAAAAAATCATGTTTTTAGATCATCTCGTATTCACCAATGAATGTAAAAACATAAATTAAAAAATATAAACTTGGAACCCTTTCATCGTTCTTCACACCATTCATTCTCTCTTCGAACTTGTTGTTCTTCCTCGGGCGTAAAATCATTTTCAATATTGAAGGTTTTGCGAATTTCTTCTGGTGTTTTTTTTTTAATCATATTGGCTACAGTTTTGCAAGTGAGATCAAGAAGAGGTTTGATGTCAAGATAGTTGGCAGCCTTATAGAGAATAAAATGGTGTTAATCATGGAAATAACTGAATTGAAAAACAGCAAAAGCAAAACTTACCAAAATTAACTCGTATAGAGTTCCCTGATCTACTTTACAAAATTCTGCGTCCCAGTCATCAATATCTTCAGAATTTTTCTTGTTTTCATCCTCTTGCGATGTGTTTGGATCATCACGATGATGTGTGCAATATTCTATGACTTTGATTAGTATGGGTCCAGTGACATTTGGTAAAGGCACCGCTATTTAAAATGTGTATTAATTTGAATAAATGATTAATAACAATAAGATTCTATTCAACCCATTTTAACCTTGATAAAATCTAAATGCCCATAAATAAAGTATTAGTTATAGAAATAGTGGTAAATTCCTACCCACCCATGTCACTTTCACCGACATCTTCCAGCATGTTTTTCAATAAAACAGATTTTTCTGCCACATTTCTCTCGACTTTAAATTCTGTTCCTTCAGAGGAAGTTAGCTTAACCGTTTTTATCTCTGCCATGTTTAATTAAACTATTAAATTCAAAAATGATTCAAGAAGTACAAAAGAGGGGTGATAAAAGAACTGTACGTGCCTGTATTAGTTTTATGTTAAAAGTGGCGAAATCTTTTTATCACCCCCTGTGGATGTAGAAACATATATGTCACTATACAGGGTTATTTGTACTCTAACCATGTATGTAAAAATGTTACTATTTATATATTCTGATATTTCTTTTTTTTTTAAATCAATAATAACTCCGAAAAATCTTCTTTCTCTCGCTTATATCTATTTCATATAAACAAAATGAATTCTGGACGTATGGGTTCTCCTACACGGTCAACTAAACCAAATGGGACAATAGCAGCATTTGACCCTACCGTTTTGCACATCATTCAAGGTATTATAAGGGACTTAAAATTTCTTAACGAATATAGTTACCTTTCAAATGGTGACTATGAAGTTATCGTGGAAAAATTACCAAAGTCATTCGAGCCACACGCCGCACCACATACACCACCTGATCCCTCACCAACTTCTTCGCCAGCACTTCACACAAGCTCACCCGTTATTCCTGGAACACCAAAAGGACATTATAAAAATTCTTCACCTCAACGGAATTCACAAGAAATTCATGAAGGCCATCCAGATCAAATTTCATTGCAACAACCACAGCTATCACGAATACAAACTTCATTACCATCACAACCACAACAAATTCCGACTTCTTCTCCTATGCAGTCAACACTTAGCCAAATAAACACACAATTTAACAGCCCTATTGAGAATCAAGCTCGAGTTCTGCCTCAACCACCTGGCACAACAACACCACCGAAGCCAATAGAGCCTCCTACTTTTGCTAGTAAACAAGCAGAGGCTGAAAGTTATCGAGTTGAGCAAGAACAACAAGAAGATTTACCAATGTACAGTAGTGAAACATTAGAGATACTTATGGCTTTATGGGATTTTGAAGGTCAGAATTTTAAATTTTCCTGGGAGTTGATTAAGAATGATTTATATAGGTCTGGTCTTATATTATTTTTTCCCAGGCGGAGACGAGGGCGATTTGACATTCAGGAAAGGTGATATTATAGAGGTTATTGAACACGGTGGGTGACAATTTTTTGATGCGTATCTTTATATATCAGGTTTATTATTTATTTTCGTGAAATTTCTTAGTGAATGAAGACTGGTGGAAAGGCCGCATTCAAGGAAAATCCGAAATTGGTATATTCCCTAAAACTTACGCTGAACCATTGTAAGTATAATAATTAAATTTCTATTGCAATGCAGGTATAATAAATTCTTAACTGTAAAACTTATAGGAGTAATAGGATTTCAATGAGCAATAATAATGGCCATCAATTAAGACAACAGTCCCAACATGAAGCAGTGATTTTGCCTCAAACAACGACAGTTACTATAATTCCATCACAACAGCCTCAAGGAGGGTATCCAACGTCACAATCCTATTACAATATGCAACAACAACAACATCAACAAATATTTAATATGTCTTATACACAACCGGGTCAGCCCCCGTACGCGCCTAGTCAACAATATCCTTATAGTACGTCACAACAAGCTGGTGCATCCCCAAATAATATTAATCCTTATCAGCTTTAGATATTGTGGTTTCGTTCCACTCTGAAAAATAATATGGAAACTGATTGCAGAAAACTCAAAGTTATTTATTTATGATTGAAAATGTTCTCTATGAATATAAGTTCGTGATTTTTATTTAAATACGTTTTTGTAAAGTACAAATTAAATATGTAAACTCTATAAACTCTGTAAACTCTAGAAATGCTTAAAATGTGATTTATAATAAAAATATTATTTAATATATAGTGTGAGTCAACTATTTGAAATTTTTTTGAAATTTAAATAATTAAAAAAGATAAATATAAATTATATAAATGTAAATAAAATTTTTTATTTTTATTATTATTTTACGTAAAAATTATCAAGTGATATAAGCAATAAACTACAAACGTGCTGGCATAGTATATTTATTATTCCATAATTATTTTATAAATTCAAACTTTAACATTTCTACATATATTTTTAATTGGATTAAGATCTGGCAATTATGATGACTCTTTGATAGGTGTAATATTAAGTTCAAACTTGATTTTTTTTTGCAAGTTTACAATTATGAATAGATGTATTATTTTTTTGTAATCTATTTTTTTATTAATGAAAATTATGAAATAAACTATATTTAAAATAAGATTGAATATTCTTTTTTATTTAAATAAGTTAAGATACAAGTTAAGTAATGCAAATTACTTTTATTTATGTATTTTCAAATCATAATTAACTTATGTTTACTTTTAATAATTACTTGTATATAATTTAAATTATAAAGTTTATTTTTATAGTATTAAATTAAAATTTTATCAATTAAATCAATGCTTATAGAAATTTTATTAGTTTATCAAACTTGTTTCAATCTTTTTTAAATTAATTTTATAAGTCAGATTTATTTAAATTATTTAATATAATTAATTTTATTGATTATAAACTTTTTATTCAATATAAAATTAAAAATTATTTTTTAAAAAAATTTTATACTAAAGTAATTAAAATATAGGATTTATTAAAAATTTAATAACAAATTTTTTAATGTTTTTAAATTTTTAAATTTTTTTTTATTTTATAAAAAATTAAATATTTGAATTGTTAATTTATAATTGATTTATGATTTATAATATATATATATATATATTTAAATAATCTTAATTATCAATTAAATTTAAATATCTAATATAGATTTGATAATACTAATCAACTAAAAAATTATATTTTTAGAATATTTATTAAAAAGTATATATTTTTTATTAAAATTTATAATTCTGAAAATTAAAATCAAACAGATTTATATAAACTTATATGAGATTTAAAACACTATTAAAAATAATAATATATTATAATCCATATATTAAATTTAATATAAATCAAAAAATTAGTTCCAGTGGGGCTATAGCACACTGGTAAATGCCTGGTATTTCTGTACTAAGGTTACAGGTTCAAATTCTGGTGATGACAAAATTCCTGTAGACACATTCCAGGGATAATCATAGCTAAAACTATGAAACCGATCATCAAAGTGTCACAGCGCTACAAATCTCACTGGAGGTCTGGGGTCTCACGAGTACTCATCATGATGCTAGTGAATAATCTTAATACTGGGCTAGATGTGGCAGTGATAAGCGTCAGTTGCCTGACTATCACTACGCAACCAGATTTAACCAGCAACTTCTCCCCTTTAGACCTGTGGGTGTGTAGTGTAATGGTTAACACTTCACAGGTCAAATCACAAGATACCAGTTCAACCCCATGTAAAAGCGGTTAAACAGAATCAATATGGTATCTGGCGCCATAACCTGTATAAGTGCTGTTTCTCATGAGAAACTGTTTTACACGCTAATCCAGTGAGCATTGAGATTGTGATTTCCAGAAAAGGTGTTATAATGTGAAGATCGTCCGGTTGGTGCTATGATGATTGCCGGAAGTTGTAAGGTGTATAAGGTGTCCGGTTTAGTACAAGATGATTTGGTGATCACTTCTTATAATATCTGGTGTCTTTTCTGCAAAAAGGTTATCTGAGAGTCCTATCCCAATTCAGTAAGAAGCCCACCCCTGTACCGCTTATCCCGAGAAGGCATCTAGTATTCCCAAGTAGCTATAAAAAGACTACTGTAAATTGTAAATCTATAGTTGTAAGTACCTTGAACGTCCCTGAGCTGTAATAGGAAGGCAGGAATTAAATAGTCAAAGGCCAACTGCAGATGGTATGGAGCGGTAAAGATAACTTTAAGTAAGGTTTTATTCATCGAAAAAAGATATTATCCCCAGTTCCCCACTTTCCTTTTCCCTTAACATATCCCCAAATAAAATCTAAATAGTGCAGTAATACTTAACACACTAGTGGAGCTTTGGCATGCTAGTCATTGGTCCCTTTGCTATAACCCAGGTTATAGAATAAACCAATAACTC